ATATATATATATATATATATATATATATATATATATATATATATATATATATATATATATATATATATATATAGTACGTGCTAGGAACTGTGTTTCAAAATACAGGGCTTTAAAAATTGAATGGATTACAATTCTGTTCTTAATAAATGTCCACATAATAAGATAATTAAGACAGGTCACAGAATATTTTGGAAATGTTATGGGTGTTCAAAGTAGGGAGAGATGAAGTGTGTTTGAGGGAGTCAGGGAAGGAGGTGGCATATGAAATGGTCCTTGAAGGACAGTTAGGATTTCAACAATTTAAATGTATATGCAATCCAGATTAAACAAAGAATCATAAGCAGGGAGGTAAAAAAGTACTGTGACCGAAAAAAGGCCAGTTACTCTTTTGGCTGAAAGGTAAGGTTGACACAGGGAATTAGTGAGAGATACGCAAGAAATATGGGGTGAGGCCATATTGGTGGTGCCAGGTTCTTTAACCTAGCAGACAATGGGCGACTGATGGTTTGGAGGCAGGCCTACGGAATACACAATAGGATTAGAAGGTGGAAGCCCAGAGAGTGGAGAGACCAGTTCGGAGAGTCTATTGCAGTATTTCAGTAAGAGATAATAAAGGCTTGCAGCAGAGGGAGGGCACAAGGAGTGAAGAAAAGACACAGGAGAGGAAAGGCACCGTTCAGAGAGAATCTACAGTATATGACTAGGGCCTCTCACTGGAGAGAGGGAGGAAGGCAGGGAGGGAGAGGGAGAGGGGGAGAAGAGGAGGAGATGGGGGAGAGAGAGAAAGACAGAGAGAGAGTGAGAGAGGCCCCAGTGACTAGAGTCATTTACACGAATGGGTAAGTCACTGGAAGGTGATGGTTTAGGTTTTGGATATTGGTCAGCCTGAGGTTTGGGTTGCATCTCGTTGCCACCTTCCCTTTTTAACATTTCTCTTTTTTTAGGGCCACCTCCACCTCCCGCCATCTCTGTCCTTTAAGTTATTGAGCTTTCTGTCCTCAACCTGACCTGCGTTTACCTTCACGCTCCATTTCTGCTTCCCATAGTATTCTCACAGCCAGGATGACACAGGTCAGGTCCTGGGCTGTAGGATACTCCTCCCGCCAGAAGCCCAAACTCCTCTCGCCTAGGCAGCTTCCATGCTTGCGTCCCAAAGCTCTTTGACCAATAGGCAGGCCCTAGAGCTGGGACTCGATTCGCTATTGGTTGGCCGAGCCATGGTGAGAGATGGTGCGGTGCCGGTTCATTGCACTGGTGAGAGCTGTGGGAGGTTGTTAAGGCGACCGTTCGTGACGTAGCGCCACCAGGCTAAGCAGCCCCCAGATGATTGGCTAGATGATCGGAAGATCCTTTCTTATTGGTCGCAGGCTCGTTTGGCTCCGAGTGTGCGTAAGCCGAAGATTCCTTCCGCTCCGCGTCTCCGTTGACTGGAGACAGGCGGAGCGCCGGCGCCGGGGTTAGGTGGCCTCTAGTGAGATCCGGAGGTGAGGCGGCCGGCGGCCGCGAAGAAGGAGCCCGGGCGGCCGGGAGCAGGGCAGTAGTAGGTGAGAGCGAGCTTAGGGCCCTGTTGGTGGCGGTTTTCGGGTTCCGCTCGGCCCTGGGAAGGGACGGCTGGCACCTCCTGCGGACCTGGCGGGAACTGCGGTGGTGGCTTTCCCGGTGTGGCGGCCCTGTCCCACGGGGACTGCGAGGAGACGTCCTTGAGGCGCGGCTGCCCGCACCAATGCCGGGAAACCCGGGGGCCAGGCTGGGCCTGAGCGGCGGGCGGCGGGGCGGAGCAGCGTTCGCCGGCCTTATTGGATGTAGGCAATGCTAGCTGCTCTCTCACGATCATCGGGGCGGAAAGGGTGCCAGGAGGGGTGACCTTGAACGCCCCTCGAATCTGGAAATGCTGGGGGGCTGGGGGGGGGGCGTCCCGGCCCGCTGCTCGCTGAGAGGACGCAGGAAGGTTCATCCCATGCTGGTGTCCACGCCCAGGCGGTGCTGTTCGTCAGCACCTTTCTTTAAAGTGATGGGGAAGATCTCTAAATGCTGCGACTAACTCAGAACCATGAAAAGAACCGTGAATCCGCATATATGTGTCCGGTTATTTCCAAGAGAAACGTGTTGAAAGGATGCGGAGCCCAATGTAGGAAGTCGCCTAAGGACTTAAAAGGATCCCCCCCCCCCCGCAAGGGATGTAGTCTCCTTGTTGCTGATTTGGAGGTTCAAATACAGCGCAGTCAATTTCTACAGTAGGAGGAGATTGAGGTACTCCATCTTAAATAGTCGTTTGAAATATTTCAGGGCTCGAGGACATGCCTTCTTAGACTTGGTGCTGAAAAGTTATAGGAAACATTTGTTTTCGGGCCATGTTAAATCATGCATAATATCAGCATCTCACAATGTAGAGAATGTGTTTTTTTTTGTTTGTTTGCTTGTGAATTTGTTTTTCTCTCCATGCACTGAAAGACATTTTATGATTTAGAGGTGATCTAGCACAGGCCTGGAGTATCCATTGGCGATGGATAGATTGGATTATTATTATTATTATTTTTTGGTAGATTGGATTTTGAAGGCCTGCTTTGTTGTAGTGTCTTTCCAGAATTTATGATAAACTTGGCAGTAAGGACAAATGGGAATTAGTAACATGAAGGTTAAAAATATTGTGCAAAGATTAATCATTAATGACACATATGAAATTGTTGATATTTGAAATTTGGCTGTTTTTTACCTACAAAAATAGCAGTTTCATATAGCTAGTTCCATTTGATACTTTATCAAAACTTTGGAGCTCTAGCTTTGTAAATTAATGAAGAGAGATGTGACTTATAAACAGGTAGCATACAATAGAATTGGGTGTAAAATCCAGGTTTCCTGATTTCTAGTGCAAGAAATTATTTTTTCCCTAGGATACAAGGTTGAGCAGCAGAATGCTAGATCCTATTGGAATTAAAAATGGCTCATTAGAAGACAGGGTGTTTACCTTCAAAGAGATGAAACATACACAGCAATTAATTTGACAACAATGTAAGCTAATATATAATCAAATACTGGAATGTGTACCATAGGAGGAGTGCGGAGTGGAAGGAAAGAATTAGCGTAGGATGCCAAAGCACCCTTTTCTGCAGTTGGCCATAGTGAATGGTTTCTGTGGTTACTCGCTTAGAGTTTGAGGATTCCATTGAATTTAAATGATCCATTCTTTCGAAGAATTTGTGAAATGTCTGCAGTATACATCAATGTGAACAAGCAAGGCACATGTTGCCTATTTAACTTGATTTTTAAAGTAAAATTTATTTTTATTGCAACATGGCATAAATACTGCCTATTGAATTTGCATGAGCTGTCCTGTAGCCTACTAGTACTAATTGAAACTGCTGATGAAGGTGGAAGGATGTATTCTGTGTCATTTAAATGCTTTGCATAATCATATAGAAGTGAGGAGGGTGCTCATGAGAAATGAGACTGTTTGTAATTATGGTTACATAATTATAAACACACCTATGTACATTAGATTATTCAATTTGTATTTCCAAATAGGTCAGGTTCTCTGTGTTTGGTGATAGTTCACAGGATCATGTGTAATTCTTTTCCTCAATGTTGTAAAGATGATTTTACACCCAGGAAAGAAATGGCACAGAATTGACAGTGCTGCCATGAAATCTTTTTGAGGGAAAACATAATGTGCCTAGTATGTAATTATGTGTTGATGGTGCTAAACTGATTTGTGATCAAATCGGGGTGCCTTCCTGCTAGCAGCTCAGATGTTAATTAAACTGAATTAGTTTTTTAGCAGTGAAAGAAATGTTGACTTGATAGGGAATAACCTAAGCTGAGGAAGGTTTTGGGGGAGGAAGTGTTAGAAATCATTTTAACCTAGGTTTTTTTGTTTGTTTGTTTGTTTTTAGTTTCAAGGGTGTACAGAACAATGCAATAGTTATCGTTTTCTTAACCTAGTTTTGTGTATTTTAGTTGATTCATTTTCTGGGACATTGATGCCAGTTGATCCCTTAGACTGGTTTGTAGGTTTGTTTGTTTTTAATAAAATAAAATGGAAGATATGTGAAAGATAGAAGATCATTATGAAAATCTAGCCTCTTATGAGGCTTTTGGCTGTAATGAAGTAGGGTTCAAATCTAAGATACGATTAGTACTCTCCAACACTTTTAAGTCCAAGTCCCTGTTAATTTAATAGAAAGTATTTTGTTATTGTTCATTTTCAAAGTTAGTATATAAAATGTAGGCTCTTTTCTCCACCTTGTTGCCCTTTAATATGTTCAACTTGGGGGCCAAGAAGGGGGTGGGGTTACATCTATATCTTGGTGACTTTTAAAAAGGTAATTTTTAGGTCTGTTTCAAGATGTGCCAGTAAAATGCATGCTGCTGTAGTTTAAGAATTTATTTTTAATTAAGCAGGTGTTTGTTGAGCAACTGCTTTATATGAGTGAAAGGTGCTGGAGAATAAAATGAGTAAGACTTGAGCCAGGTGAGTGGCTCAATTGATTGAGAATTGGCTTGGGAGCATGAGCTCTGAGCAACAGGGCCGCCAGTTCGATTCCCACATGGACCAGTGACACTGCGCCCCAGCTGAGCTGTCCCTGAGCTGCCAACAGGTGGCAGGATGGCTCAGCTGGTGTAACAAGATTGCCTGTTCGATGGTGGGCTATGCCCACCTGCAACTAAGACTGAACTCAGCACATTGAGCTGAGCTGCTGCCCAGATGGTTCAGTGGATGGAGCGTGCGCTCTTAACAGCAAGGCTGCTGGTTCGACTCCCGCATGGGATGGTGGCTATGCCCACCCGCAACTAAGATTGAACACAGCACCTTGAGCTTAGAGGCCACAAACTGCCGATGGGCAGGCAGATGGCGGCTGGCGCCCTCCACAATGAAGATTGAAGAACAACAACTTGGCTGGTCCCCTTCCCTTCCCCAATTTCCGAACACTGTTTCCCTCACCCAGTTCCCCAATAAAAAAATAAAATGAGTAAGATTCAAAGAAAGGAAGGTTGAAAAAGCATTAATAAACACAGGCAGATGCATGCCACATTTATGTATCGTAGTGACTGCCAGCCTTTTAAAATGGAGACCCACAGTGAGAAATACATGTTATGTTAGAAGCCAGTACAAGTACACACACTCATATATGTATAGTTTCTTTAAACATAAAGTTTCAAGAAGTAATACCTACCCATACTGCATGTCTTATCCACAGCTATATTTTTCTACTTTATTAAAAAAATCTTTTTCTGACTCAAAATTGATTTCATGATCTAATTGATCCAATGAAGGGTTATTGTGACCTGCAGTTTTGAAAACCAAATACTTAACTGGTGGCCTTGTATGGTTGAGATGTGAAGAACAGAACACAGTGAGAGATGACGCTTAGTAATTGCTTTGGTTTCTTATCAATTTGGTCCCTTTAGATAGATTAATGCTTTCTTTTCTTTAATTTGCTGCCTTTTATTTTCTGTCTTGTATAAATGAGTCACTTTCTTAGTTATTATTGTAAGTGTGAGATTAATTTGAATGAATTCTTGCTAGTATGCCAGTGGGCTTCTTAAAATCTTAATTTTAATTGATTTTTATGAGTAATTAATATGCTTTATCATAAGCTTTAATTTTAGAGTAAGAATTAAGGCTTGCATGTTCCTATGTTAGAGATCAATGACTATATTAGATTTTTTTAAAATCACAATATCAAAATTATTATTATTATTTCTCCAGCAAACATGGGAAAGTTTAGTCATGGTAGCCATTAGATCAAAATTATCTGTATGTTCTGTTGGGAAGTTTTGAATGCTATACACTCCTACTTTGATCAGCCATCCTCTTCTTCCAGTATTGTTCTAGCATTTTGATTAGCTGTAAAAGTTTGGGAAAAGACTTCTCTGGTGACAGCAACATTAGGAAGGTGTATTAAATTTCATTTGGCTAGTGACATTATGCCATGTGTTGGATGAAATATTAAAAATGTAATGGGCTCCTCCCTTGAGGAGCTTTATAAGCTAAGAGGGGTCAGCAAACTTTTGAGACGGAAGAGCCAATCCTGTCCCTCATAACAATTTAAAAATTATTCAAGAGCCATAAAACAAATGAAATCACCATTATGTGAATAATATTCTTTAAAAATTTTATAAATGAAACTAGGATGGTTTTATTTTCATTTTCAATTTTACTTCAGAGCCACATGTACAACCCCAAAGAACCACATGTGGCTCACTAGCCACAGTTTGCCGACCCTTGAGCTAAGGTAATGATTTACAGGACATTCCACAGGTAGGTTCTTTAGTATTAATTTACCTTTTGCATAACCAGAATCAGAAGGATGCTTATATGCATTTTACCTCAGGGTAATTAGAAAATAAATGTGTATAGCTGTTTCTTTTCTTTCCTGCTTTATTGCTCTCCTTGGCTCAGGTAATATCAGGGGCTGAGATAGTATGCATTTGGTTTGATTTTTAAATGCCGGAATTCATACAATTGGTAAAAATTTAGCTATGTTTAATTAAGTTGGTTGCTAGTGAATAATAGAGGATTTAAGTTGTATGTAAAGAAATAATAACAACAGTCTTTTAATTTTATAATTATTTTCCAAAATTATAAGAAGCACTATCAAATAAAAAAAATAGTATTATTTGTATGTATAAGACCCTGTGCATACAAAAGCAGGATTTACAACTTACTTTTTCTAAATATGCAGTGAGCTGTATACTGAGTGTTGATATTTCTTCCAGGATCCAAGGATTTTGTAGCTACAATGTTGTCAAGACTTTTCCGAATGCATGGCCTCTTTGTGGCCTCCCATCCCTGGGAAGTCATAGTGGGGACAGTGACACTGACCATCTGTATGATGTCCATGAACATGTTTACCGGTAACAATAAGATCTGTGGTTGGAATTATGAGTGTCCAAAGTTTGAAGAGGTTTGTGAAATTAATTTGATATTGATTCAAGTAAATTACATTTTCCATTTCTAGAGTATCTCCTTTTAGAGACCATATTATCAAAAAAGCTATGAGTAAAATATTTTAGTATTCATGAACTTAGCTCAAATTTCCATTTACTTATGTAGTATGGAAATGTACTGGAAACAGTTTTCTACACAAATGAGTGTGATTGACTCTACTTGAGAAATACAGCTTTTATAAGTGACTAACAGTGAAAATGATTGGCTTACACTGGATTGTTTAAAAATTTGACTTAATTTTTGATTTGCATTTTTAATTTTATTTTATTTGCGTTGTGCCTACACTGATATGTCATAATATGTAAACTAATGATGCATACAAAATAAAAATTCTCATTTTTGATTGCTTATTTTAAAAGCTGTAGCTGTTGTGATTTTTTTTTTCCTATCTCTCCCAATAGGATGTTTTGAGCAGTGACATTATAATTCTGACAATAACACGATGCATAGCAATTCTGTATATTTACTTCCAGTTCCAGAATTTACGTCAACTTGGATCGAAATATATTTTGGGTAATCATTTTATACATTGAACTTCTTTGTGTGCAACCAGATTTATTTCTTTGCTGTGGAAATGTACCTGTTTGTTCAAATCATGTTTATGGAAATGTGTATTGCTTAAAGTGTACTGCATGCATTCAGTAGTTTTCCTTATTATTGGGTGCTAGACATTCTGATATTTGAGACATTAATAATCTGGAGAAAATAATCTTTATTTCAGAATATTGTTTAGGACTATATGTTATTATTTGTATAATAAAAGATGAAGTTTTTTCAGTTTGTTGAATTTTGTCATTTAGGTATTGCTGGCCTCTTCACAATTTTCTCAAGTTTCGTATTCAGTACCGTTGTCATTCATTTCTTAGATAAAGAATTGACAGGCTTGAAGTAAGTATTTAAAGCTTAAATATACTTTTTTCAAAATATATTGTTAAGAACTTTTTTTCATGTTATAAAGTTATAAATTTTCAGAAGTTTATAGAAAATACAGGGGAAGTTTTCATATAGTCAGTTAGCTAATTATAATACCTGTTAACGTTTTGGTAGTAAGCTTTCCCACTTTTTTTTTATACTTAAAGAAAACTTTGCATATCATACTGTATATACTGCTTTGTAACTTGTTTATGCTTAATAATAGTTTAATCAACATCTTTGCATGTCCTTATGCTAAACTAAGCTATTTGTAATGGCTGTCTAGTATTACCTCAGTTCATTTACTTAATCCTGTAGGTTGGATAGTTAGGTTATTTAATTTCTTCCATTAATAACACAGCAGTGAATGTCTTTGTAGCTAAATGTTTGTTCATATTCATAGTCATTTTCTTAGGATACATTCTTAGGATTGAGATAGTGTCTGTGTAAGTTTTTAGGACTTTAGAGTGCCATTTTTACGAGTTTACTTTCCAGTAAAGTTGTTTAGTTTAACCTTCCACAATGAGAAAAATTATATTCTACTTTTTTCCCCATGCTATTGGGTTGTTGGAAAAGTCATGATGCATTTTTGCAATGAAAAACAGAAAAAATGCATCATGACTTTTCCGACAACCCAATAATTCAATGAGACATTGTTTACTAAGGATGATATTTTGGTATAAAATTATCAAAAAGTGTTTTTGTATAAATATGTTTGCATTTTAAACAGATGTTTTGAGCAACTAAAATTTAGCTTTGAGGATGCCAAAGGAGTATATAGGTATACCTTTTGGTCTGCAAAAAGGTATACACACTAGAGGTGGGGGGGAAGTTTTATTTTAGAAAGTACTTTTTAAGACTTACGTTTTCCTCTGTTAAATGTACCTCATCATCTTGGTGTTTTGTTTTTTTTCCAGTGAAGCTTTGCCCTTTTTCCTACTTTTGATTGACCTTTCCAGAGCAAGTGCACTAGCAAAGTTTGCCCTTAGTTCCAACTCACAGGTAAGTATTATAAGACATGTTAGTGGTATTCCTTTTTTTTTGTTTGTTTGTTTTTTTTGTCAGCTTGTTTATAATAGGAAGGATTAATAGAGTGTCTTCATAGTCCAAGATTTAGGAATTGCCTACAATTCTAAGGTTTATTGTCAAGTCCTAAAACTGGTACCTTAGGAACTGTCCTGTTTATCTAACAGCTCAATTATAATTCCATCGCTTCTGGAATTTGGAATCTTCCCTGTTTTCTGTTTTGAAAGTTTCAGAAATTAAGGTTATGTTTGGACTTTTGGATCAGTAAGAGTATCTACCTAGTAAAACACACTGGCTGGCAAACAAAATAGAATCTAATGGAAGAGAGTCTCAGGGTAGATTTATTTCTAACCCCCTTGAAAACACCAGCATTCTTTCCCACCCAAAGTTTTTATCTTAGTGTTAATTAGTCACGTTAAAGAACCTATCATTTTTAACAATCTTTCATCAGAATGTCTGAGTATAAAATAGCATGTACTTCTGCCTTGAAATGTATTTGAATGTTTATGATCATTTGAGTAAGGATATGATTTGACATGGATATGATTTAGGTTTCATAATACTAACATGGTCGCAACAAATTGCAACTAAAAACTTCTGTCAATGGTAGCCAGAATATAAAAGTTATAGCATTTATTTATGTGGGATTTAACTTATATAGTATTCATGCACCACCTCAAAGGAATCTTTCCAAGAAATATCTTGTTCAGTGGATAGGGATAGCAGGGCACACTGTGTGTGTGTGTGTGTTCAAATCCTCTATTATTAACACACTTTGCATTTAGAATGCCTATTAGTCTTATCATATTGTAGATTTTATTCTTTGCATAGTAAGTTAGATTTCAATGGAAGCCCTAGCATGCTTTCTAACATTTTTAGAAGTTATTTTGTACCTTACCCTCAATGATGTGTTTGGTCTGTGTTTTAGGATGAAGTAAGGGAAAATATTGCGCGTGGAATGGCAATTTTAGGTCCCACATTCACCCTTGATGCTCTTGTAGAATGTCTTGTGATTGGAGTTGGCACCATGTCAGGTTTGTAAGCAATTTTTAATATATTTAATAAATAAGTTTGTAATAAAGAGAATGTCTTAGATTGCATTGGTTGTTCTTAAGCTGACTTTTAAAAGTCTAATACTACTCTTAAAATTTTTTAATTGTATGAGTATGTGGGTGTATCTGATCTTATGTTTGCACTAATGTAAACATAGTAGCAGGTTATAGATTTATTTTTCATTCTTGCCATCTTCTCTTTCTGTGTGCTACTCTTTTGATGACTTTGTGTTGTTTTTGTTTGTTTGTTGTTCTGATTGGTTTTTAATTAAGATTGTATTCCAAGGCTTTTCTGAAAAGTACCTTCCAGCCCCTGTTATTGCCTAAACTGAATTAGTGACTTGGTTCCTTGGAAAGTAGGGTGATGAGTTTTGTTTTAATTGTCATGTAGAAGATAGTGGAAGAGTCAGGAGGTGGACAGAGCTAAGTTAGAGCCACCTAATAGGATGGTTGGGAAGATTTAATCAGATAGCATGTAGTATATCCTTAATTGAATAATAGAGAAGTAGATGTTAAATATCAAACATAGGACTCCATTATATAGGACAAAAATTATGGTCTGGCATGGAAATTTGCCAGAATGAATATATCATGCTGCTGTGGAGGTTTTCTAATAATTAGGACTAGATTTTGTGGCTTTCTCTTGAAGTCCACACTTAGTTAAATACTGTTCACTAGTATTTCCTGGGCTTTAGTACCTTCAATAAAGGGTTTCATTCTTTCAAAAGTAAATTATCTAACTTTTAAGAGAGTAGTGAGTTGTCATTAGTTGAGGTCTCTTCACTAGGTAGTGTATTAAATATTTAATGTTTCTTACAACTTTCTGAGGGAAATTTTTTTTCAATTATTTAATCTGTCATTCAACAAAATTTTATTTAGCAAAGAAGATATTTTTTAAATTATTTTTTAAATGTATATTCTTTAAAATCTCTTTTTGGGTACAGTTTTGAGTTTTGACAAAGATATAGTCATGTAAACACCACCACAATCAATAAAAATGTTTTTGATCAGGTGAAAACATACCTGTGTGATTTTATTAAAGAAGAGGGATTAGCCAGAAACTAGTACTGGGCCATGAAACGAAGGATTATTCATTGGAAACTGATGTAGAAAGTAGGGTGATGAGTTTTGTCCTGATTGGTCAGAGAACTGGACAAAGGAAGGTTAGGTTTGTAATTGGAGAAGGCAGTTAGGAGACATTTACTGCTGTACAGAAATGGTATAGTTATTAGTGATTTGGCTTAGGATAGAAAATAGGGACAGATTTAACATATTAACTAGGAAAGTATCCCTTTGGAAAGTCAGTAAAAAAAGAAAAAAGCCTTAATTTCCTAGAAGTATATATAAATTAGTGCTCTTTGTATAGTAGCCAGGTGGCTCAGAGATACTCCTTAGGGACAGAGGAAGAAAGAATGCCTGGAAAATACATGGCAGCAACAGTAGTTAACTGAAAGAGGGCAATAATAGATTGCCAAGCTGTAAAAACCATTGGTGAAGTATAGTTTCGATGGTCTCAGGTTTGAAAAGATTATATTTGACTAGTATTTAAAATGTAGGTTGTTCATAATGTTTTTGTTACTGTAATTTTGTATTCTCTTGAATTTCTATATTTGGGAGTAATTTGCTGTAGTTTTTAAAAAATACAGTGCATGCTTTTGTTCCTTTATTTAGTTAAATGATCTATTACAATTCAGAAAATAAAATAAAACTTGAGTTTTTTTGTATTCTAGTTGGCAGTTTTTATAGGAAAAGGGAATCATTTTTTTATATTTTAAAACATTTTTATATTTAATATGAATGACATCAGAAATATGTTTTATAGTCAAGTTTATTTGTAAAGTGAGGGAATAGGATTTGGTCATCTGAACTCTTTTCCGGCTCTATAGTTCTGTTACCTTCTATTTGAGAAGATTACTAAATGATACCTTAAACATTTTCTATGGAACAGTTGTTAATTTTGAATCTTGAGTTGCTTTTTTGCATTATATTATTTTTCAAACATATCAGTGAAATTAACCAAAATTATAAGAACATCAGTAGATATCATAGAGGTTATATTGAAATTAGAGTTCAGTATTACACATAAAATATTTATTATGATACTATATCAGAATGGCATAAGTGGCAGTATGTTTTACTTTTATAAAAAGTCCTTGGTCCACAGGCAAATTCCTTTTGTGGTACCTAGTGTGATTAGATCAATAGTATAACTGTAGAGGGTTTGCTCCATTATCTCAAAAGAGAGTACTACCATTTTAAAAAGGGGGATTATCAGATGTGTATTAAACCCTACCACCGTGCCTGGCATTGTGACGTTGGCGACCTGGGAGAAGATAAAGTGTCTGTCCATGAGAGTAATTCTAATTCCTCTGTGCTCTCAGGATTGGCATCACCTCTTAGTTCCTAATTCTTTTTCTAGTAGATGGCAAAGAGATTAATATACTAATATTTTCGTGTATTTGTCTACCTATACGAAGAGTCCTTGTGATGTATGCAACTTCAAAAATACACATACTTCATTAACTGTACATTTACTTTTTCTCTAACTAGGGGTACGTCAACTTGAAATTATGTGCTGCTTTGGCTGCATGTCAGTTCTTGCCAACTACTTTGTGTTCATGACCTTCTTCCCAGCTTGTGTGTCCTTGGTTTTAGAGGTAAGAGAAGTTCTTACTCATGGCATTAGTAGAAGAGTAATATTTCTCATTATATCAGTTCACCTAAATAAAATGAATACCTTCTAATGTAACACTGACTTCCTTTGTAGCTTTCTCGGGAAAGCCGCGAGGGCCGTCCAATTTGGCAGCTCAGCCATTTTGCCCGAGTTTTAGAAGAAGAAGAAAATAAACCAAATCCTGTTACTCAGAGGGTTAAGATGATTATGGTAATTACATAGTTTCTTTCTTCCTTCAGTGTCTTCGGTTCCAATGTCATATTCTGCTCTTCACTTTTGTTTTCTTTTTCTTCTTTGGTCATCTTTCTACCATTTTTTGGCTCTTTCACTGATGTTCCTTTCCCCCCCACCCCCCTTTCTTTACATGTTTCTTCTTTCTTTAAGGCTCCTGGTCTTTATAAGTGTCTCTCCCCTAAATAGACTTTTCAAGTTCCTCCACTTTCTCTGAAAACCTGTTCTTTGGAATGCTTTCAGTAGTTCAGTGGGGCCATTACTTTAGTTAGTCACACAGCAAGCCTGGGTTTTTCTTTTTTTATGGTAAGGAGAAGCCATGGAAGATAGTGTCTGGTTATCCAGTTGGTAAGGATGAGAAGTTTAGGTTTCATTGATACATGGAAGATGAATAATTTTGTACATTTTATTTCAGTCTCTAGGCTTGGTTCTTGTTCATGCTCACAGTCGCTGGATAGCTGATCCTTCTCCTCAAAATAGTACGGCAGAAAATTCTAAGGTTTCTTTAGGATTGGATGAAAATGTGTCCAAGAGAATTGAACCAAGTGTTTCCCTCTGGCAATTTTATCTCTCTAAGTAAGTTACCTAAGACCTACTTTGCTATATATTAATCATGGTACTCTATGCTACTAAAAGTTTAGGTTGTGCCTTTTGTATTTCGGAGTAATAACATTTTTTTTTTTAAAGATTTTATTGGGGAATTAGGGTAGGGGAACAGTGTTGGGAAATCGGGGGAAGGGGAACAGACAAGTTGCTGTCCTTTGGTTCTTCAGTCTAGTTGTGGAGGACGTCGCTTCACTGGCCCATGTTGGTATTGTGATCATTGTGCTCTTCTTGGCTGAGGCAGATTGGTTGCTGGCATTGTGATGGCAGCTAACGGCAGCTCATGCCAGCTGCCTGCCATTCACGGTAGCCCACTGCAGCCTACACCGTCGCCAGCCACTCAGAGCAGCCTACCTCCAGGTCGAGCTTTTGTTCACCATCTTAGCTGTAGAGGGTGCAGCATCACTGGTCCATGTGGGATCCGAACTGGCGGCCCTGCTGCTCAGAGCTCGCACTCCCAAGCCAACTCTTAACTAACAAGCCACTCGGCCGGCCCCCCCGAGTAATAACATTTTAATTTGCTTTCTTTTATTTAGAATGATCAGCATGGATATTGAACAAGTTATTACCCTAAGTTTAGCTCTCCTTTTGGCTGTCAAGTACATCTTCTTTGAACAAGCGGAGACAGAATCTACACTCTCATTAAAAAACCCTATCACATCTCCTGTAGTGACCCAAAAGAAAGTTCCAGATGATTGTTGTAGACGTGACCCTATAGTGGTCAGAAATAACCAGAAAGTCCATGCAATGGAGGAGGAGACAAGGATAAACAGAGAAACGAAAGGTAATTTCTTACTCTCTTCATTTTCTGTTCTAACAATGCTGATTTGTCAAGAAGTTGAATCCGTTTTAACACTTAGGTTCAATGTTGTGAGATTTCTTTTGATCTCTTCCAACAGCTGAGGTTATAAAACCCTTAGTGGCAGATACTGACACCTCAAATAGAGCTACGTTTGTGGTTGGTAATTCCTCCTTACTCAATACTTCATCAAAACTAGAGACACAGGAACCTGAAATTGAGCTTCCCAAGGAGCCTCGGCCTAATGAAGAATGTCTACAGATACTTGGGAATGCAGAGGTGAGTCAAATGACATCAGTGAGCTTGGTATCTTTCTTAAGAAAAGGAGCTTTTTAATTAAAGTAAGGTATAGCTACTGAGTACCTACTAAGTTCTAGGCACCACGCTGCATGGTTGACAGGTACTGGTCTTAGTTATTCCCACAACCTTGTGAGATAGTTGGAATTGTCTCCATTTTTTTAGATGAGAAAGCTGAGGCACCAGGAGGTTTAAGTGTTTCTCAAAGTAATACATGTAGGAGACGGTAAGGCTGGGATTAATAGTCCAACATTTGGGCCGGCCGAGTGGCTCAGTTGGTTAAGAGCTCGCTCAAGAATGCAAGCTCTGAGCAATAGCGGGTCGAGTCCCAGCCCGAGCTGAGCAGCTGCTGAGCTGCCAACAGGTGGCAGGATGGCTCAGCTAAAAAAAAAAAAAAGTCCAACATTTATTGACTCAGGAGTCAGTGCGCGTTCTACTTTATTACCGCTTATCACAGAGATGAACAGCTAACTCTATTTTCATATGTGTGCTGAGTGAGGCCTTTGAAAGGTTTATTAACATAGAAACGAGCCTCAAAGATAGAAGAAAGTTTTCTTATTTTTTTTTAAGTAAGCTTGATGCTCATAAGGATGCGTATTTTCCCTTCTGAGCTTTGAACCGGGTGTCCTGCATACATGACCATGTGAGTCAACTCATGCTTTAGCATGATGCTGTGTTCCATCCATTTCTGCTTAATCTGGTTCATTCTTTATGTGCATATGAATGAGAATAAAATTGTATTTGTTTTTCTTTATCACTTTCCCTCATTCCTATTAACATGTGTACCAATATCTCAGCTATCATGCTGAATACAGGGTTAACAAAACTTAGAGGGTAGGTGTCAGAATTTTAATTATGGATTTTTTTTTTTATGTACCTTATTTGTAAAATTTAGTGCTTTGGTATTACATTTGTTTAGTTTTCACCTTTTTTATGAAGAATTTGTTTTCATTTTGATACTCTTATTCCTACTCAAGTCATCTTTACTATTCCAAAATCCTTTGGGTTCTCTTGTGTTTTAGTGCTATTGATTGTATTAAAAGATTTATGTAGAATGGATAATATGAAATACAGTTCTTCAAGTCTTTAGTCATCTCTCCCTCTACCCCTTCCCATTTTTTTTTTCATTTCTTTAGAAAGGTGCAAAATTCCTTAGTGATGCTGAGATCATCCAATTAGTCAATGCTAAGCATATCCCAGCTTACAAATTGGAATCTCTGATGGAAACCCATGAACGAGGTGTATCTATTCGCCGACAGTTACTTTCCAAAAAACTTCCAGAGCCTTCTTCTCTCCAGTATCTACCTTATAGGGACTATAATTACTCCTTGGTATGTTATTTTCTTGATTTGAGAAGGTTTGCTTTGTAACTTTTAGCTTTGTAGCTTTAGTCTTTAGCTTTGCATAGTTTTTCTTTTTTTCTTGACTATTCTTTTATATGTACATCGTTTTATAAAATATTTTCCTTTTTAAGCCATTTTGCTGTAATTTTGTATTCTGCTTATGCTATAGGTCATAGAAATTCAAAATACTTTTCCTGTTTATAGTTATTATGCATATATTTTGGTAACTTAAATACTTTTAAAGAGTAAATAAAAATTTTGTTTAAAAAACACTAAAGGGTTAAGTTTGAAGAAAATTATTAATGATAAGAGCTGTGTCTTTGCAATATAGATTTTCACTTGGTATCTAACTTTACCTTTTAGGTGATGGGAGCTTGTTGTGAGAATGTTATTGGGTATATGCCCATTCCTGTTGGAGTGGCGGGACCTCTGTGCTTGGATGGAAAAGAATTTCAGGTTCCTATGGCAACAACAGAAGGTTGTCTTGTGGCCAGCACTAACAGAGGCTGCAGAGCAATAGGGGTAAGTTGGCATTTATATATTTATCTGTTTTAGGGTACACCTTAGGCCAGGTGATGGGAAGAGATTTGGGGACAATCAAGGACACCTTTTGGGACCTGCAGACGTGTTTTCAGGTTTAATATGTGCTTCTGTAACATACTTTGCATAGCTTGGTGGAGGTGCCAGCAGCCGAGTCCTTGCAGATGGGATGACTCGGGGCCCAGTGGTACGTCTTCCTCGTGCCTCTGACTCTGCTGAAGTGAAGGCCTGGCTTGAGTCACCTGAAGGGTTCAGAGTGATAAAGGAGGCATTTGATAGCACCAGCAGGTATGTGTCTGTGGGTTTGTAAGTGCATTTTTTAGTTCAGAACCAGTGCCATCTTTTATCACTAGACATACTGTTAACATATTGCCTGCTTAAAATGACATAATAAAATATCAACTTTAAATCTATTTATTCAAAATGAGTAATGTAAATGCTTGGTTTGGAGTGGGGGAGCAGAATGCTAATCTAAATGAATACCTCTGTAGAGGTAAATTAAAAAAATATAACGTGAGCTAGTAAGTTTGTGTGATGGCTTTACAAGGCTCACTTTGATTAGACTGTTACTTTGCCCTAGAAGAGTTTGATTTAGAATTGCTCTAGAGCCAAATTGCCTGAGAAAAAGATTTTGGAAGCAGGCTAGAAGTAAATATTAGTATAGTAGATTTACTTGGAATACAGAAAATTAAATTTATAAAGAAGCTTAATCAGTACAAATGATAACCCCAGTGTAGTTCAAGCTTATATGCTTGTTTGTATTTGGACTTGTAAAGTTTATCTATGATAAAATGACTGTCTGTAGCCCTCCCTTCTTGCAGCACATAAGAATGAGATAGTGTTGATTTCAGAACTCTAGTACAACATTTAGTTAAAGAAGAAAATACATTAATAAGTAAGCTCCGTGAGGTTTCTCTTACATGTAAAATGAGCCAACTAAACTAGATTTTAAAATAACTTCCATCTTAAAAAAAAGAAAAAAAATCCTTGCTTCTTTTGTTTATAGATTTGCACGTCTACAGAAACTTCATATGGGTATGGCTGGGCGCAACCTTTATATTCGTTTCCAGTCCAAGTCAGGTGATGCCATGGGAATGAACATGATTTCGAAGGTGAGCATGGATAGACAATAACAGAACTTGAGAGTGATTATCCCAGGAGAGGGGAGCTCGGTGTCAGAGAGACAGAAGTGGGGAGCAGACTCGCTGTCTACTCTGTGTCCTCACCATATACATCTACTATATACTCAGAGTTAATTTATTGAAAGATTTTTTTTTTTAAGATTTTATTGGGGAATTGGGGGGAGGGGAGCAGCGCTGGGGAATTGGGGGAAAGGGGAACAGACAAGTTGCTGTCCTTTTGTTCTTCAGTCTATTGTGGAGGATGACGCTTCACTGGCCCATGTTGGTATTATCATTGCGCTCTTCCCGGGTGAGGCAGATCGGTTGCCGACCTCTGGACGGCTCCTCATGGCGGCTCTTGGCAGCTCACATCGGCAGTCAGCCGCTCATGCTGACTGCCAGCGACACATGGTAGCTTATGACAACCCACTGCAGCAGGGACTGCAGCCTACGCCGTAGCTGGAGACTCATGGCAGCCCAGCTCCAGGTCGAGCTGTTGTTCACCATCTTAGCTGTAGAGGGCACAGTGTCGCTGGCTCCCATGTGGGATTTGAACCGGCGCCCTGCTGATCAGAGCTGGTCTCCCAAGCCAGCTCTTAACCAATGCGCCACTTGGCCGGCCCGAAAGATTTTTATTGAAAAGGAAATATTGATTCATGTGACTCATGTTATATGAATCAGGTATTTGTTGATTAGTGGTGTTTGTATTTAATACATTTTAGACTTGGCATTATGTATGTTCTGGGTCTACTCAGAGTGGTTGGGAAGAATCTTGGGGTTAGCATTTTAAAACTTTGTCCTATAAACCTTGAAAGCCGAACTCTTCTAGAGACTTTAAATCTTGTATTTAAGAGCCAAGCTCGTGTATAGTCCATTTATTTTAATGATCTCTTTATAAGAAGATTGTATATGGCTTACATTTTATTCTGCTGATATGTTATTTACCAGACACAAATGTAAAATATTGAAGTCAATTAGGCTAGCAAAATTTATTTTTTGGATTACCTGTTTATAAGGACTATCAGAAAGAGAGGATAGTGACTAAATGCATAAACTTTAAAAATGCCAATAAACAGTACAGTGGTTCCTCAAAAAAAATAAAAATAGAATTACTATGCTTCAGCAATTACACTTCTAGGTATATATACCCAAAAGAACTGAAAGCAAGGTTCTCAGATATTTGTACACCTGTGTTCATTGCAGCATTATCCGCAATAACTAAAAGATAGAAGCTACCTAGGTGCCCATTGATGGATGAATAGATGACAAAATGTGCTATATACATACAATGGAATATTTTCAACCCTGAAAAGAAAGGAAATTCTGACACATAAATGCTAATGAACTTTGAGGTTCACTTGCTAAGTGAAATACTCTGATTACAAAAAGATAAATACTGCATGGTTCCCACTTAGGAAGTAGTTAGGTTAATTAAATTCATAGAGATAGAAAGTAGAATGGTGGTCTCCAGGGGCTGAGGAGAAAGGGGAATGGGGAGTTGTTATTTAATGGGCATAGGTTCGGTTTTGCAAGATAGAGTTCTGGAGATTGGTTGTGCCACAATGTGAATGTACTTAAAACTACTGAAATGTAAACTTGAAAATGGTTAAGATGGTAAATTCTATGTTATATGTTGTTTGCTACAATTAAAAAAAAATTTTTTTAATTGCCCACAAGTACGTTTTAGGTTATTGAGGCGTTAACTAAATTAATTTCACTTAATTGGAAATTATTAGAAGTTTTGTTTATATTGTATGTAATGTAAATTCCATCAACTTTCCATTAACAAGATTTAGTTTAATGTTTGACTTCTCTTTACAGGCTTGGCAACTTGGGCTTTTAGGTAACAATTTAATAACCAGAAGAGGGAATTTATTTAACATTGTTCATGGGTTGGGTTACGCATTCCTCAGTGACATGAATATGAGTATTATATTCTTATTGAATATTTTTTAATATTCTTGTCTACATTCTGTTCATTACTCACTATAAAAGGTTCATTTTTATACCTAAAGAAACATTAGGAATCTATACCTGACTGAGAAATTAGTCACTGATAGTTATTAAACAGCTTTTATTTTGTGCTTAGTTTCTTTGAAATATAGTTACTAGAAATATTAAGATTATTATAGTTATTATATTTAGAAGTATTATAGTTCAATACAAATAAAGCCTCTGATCTGTAAATAACATTTTGCATTTTAATGTAATTTTATTATTGTTAATAGGGTACAGAGAAAGCACTTTCGAAACTCCATGAGTATTTCCCTGAAATGCAGATCCTAGCAGTTAGTGGTAACTATTGTACTGACAAGAAACCTGCTGCTATAAACTGGATAGAAGGAAGAGGAAAGTCTGTTGTTTGTGAAGCTGTCATTCCAGCCAAGGTTGTCAGAGAAGTGAGTGATTTGATAAATATTTTATTTTGTTAATCTTTAACTGGATCAAAAAATTGGAGAAAGGAATATTAACATTCTAAGTAAAGCTTAATATATGGGTGTATGTTTTATGTTAAAAGATGACTGTTCTATCTGCCCATCTATCTGCCTGTAGCATTTACAGGAACAAACTTAACTGATATTTTATTGAAGGCAGGGCGTAAATGGGGCTACATCTAAACTCCCTTGTCTTCTGGAGGCACAGATAGATAGATCTGGGTAACACAGTCCTGAACCCCCTGGGGGAAGATGTAAAATGTGCACAACTCTGTTTTCTAGGTATTAAAAACTACTACAGAAGCTATGGTTGAGGTCAATATTAGTAAGAACCTGGTGGGCTCTGCCATGGCTGGGAGCATCGGAGGCTACAATGCCCACGCGGCCAACATCGTCACTGCCATCTACATTGCCTGTGGACAGGTGAGGGCTCCAGCCTCCACTTCTCTTCTATTTTGTTGTTCTAAGTAAGAGAAGTTATATATTTTTCCTTTTAAATTTTTTTTTCAGGATGCAGCACAGAATGTTGGTAGTTCAAACTGTATTACTTTAATGGAAGCAAGTGGTCCCACAAATGAAGATTTGTATATCAGTTGCACCATGCCATCTATAGAAATAGGAACTGTGGGTGGAGGGACCAACCTGCTCCCTCAGCAAGCCTGTTTGCAGGTATGACACATCAGGCACAGTCCAAGGACGTCAAGCCTAGTTCTGACTCATTGGGATTCTCCGTGTTTCTGCCTGACACTGCATATCACTCACCTCTATATTTTAGCTGATCTTTTCATTATTTTGTTTCTCATCAGCCTCATCTAATGTGTCCAAGTAAGCATATTCAGATGTATGCTTAGTAAATTGAGAAAGCAGATAAAGAGAGCAAATGAATGTTCATCTGCTCTAAATGCACTGTCAGCCAGCCTGGGGACATTATGTTAGCTGTGGTGTAGACTTTAGTCAGTACTGGCTCTTAACTCTTGGAGACTTAGTACTTTTTCTGGAGTCTAGTTCTATTCTGATGCCATTGTAGTGCCCTTATTATAGTTGCTTGAGTAGGAAAAGTTGTTGCCATAACTTTAAGGGTGAATCCTGCTGTATCTCTCCATGGCTGCAGATGCTAGGTGTTCAAGGAGCGTGCAAAGACAATCCTGGGGAAAATGCCCGGCAGCTTGCCAGAATTGTGTGTGGTACAGTCATGGCTGGGGAATTGTCACTGATGGCAGCGTTGGCAGCAGGACATCTTGTCAAAAGTCACATGACTCACAACAGGTGAGACTTAAAGATTTACTTGACATGTTTTCCCTGTACTTAAAATATGCAGTATAAAAACCTATTCAGACACAATAGTCCTAACTTAAAATTCTGCATTCTTGATATATTGTGTATCTCTCCTTTGTCTTTTTTTTTTTTCTCCCGTAGGTCAAAGATAAATTTACAAGACCTCCAAGGGACCTGCACTAAGAAGGCTGCTTGAATAGCCTGACTGTTCTGAACCGAAATGCGGGTGTTGGGTTCTAAAGGACTCACATAAAATCTGTGAATTAAAAGCTCAATGCACTGTCTTGTGGAGGATGACTAGATGTGCTCAGAGAAGTGACTGCTTGGTGGTTGGCTCTTTCAGAAGAATCTGAGGTTCTTCCCATGCAGATCCCTCAGATCTGAAGACAAGTTTAGTGCTTTATGTGCTGTGCTCTTTGGAAAGATTTCAACACGAATGTTAAGCTTTAAAGCATCACAGACGATAATGTGCAGCTCACTTCTGAAAGAGAATACAAGCTGGAAAAAGTATTTTCTTTTGATGAAATTCATGGAGTTCATGGTGATCAGTGTGAGATTCACCCTCCTCCCACTACCCCCACCCCGGTGGAAAATGAATTTTTAAATTATACTGTAGCTGACGAAACTCTTGATTTCCTAGTTAATTTATTAAGCCGGGGTTGTAGAACTTTAAGAAAGAAGAGCTAAGTTTATTTTTTGTAAACTAATACTTCATTTGGTGCTGGTCTATTTTGATTTATTTTGGGGTAGACAACATGATTCTTCAGAAGGGGACCTGCTTTCTTCAAGGGAAGAACTACTCTTATTCCCCAACTACAGAATAATGTGCTAAGCAGTGCTAAATAGTTCTCTATGAAGAAAACAAATCACTGCATTTATGTCTGCAGGCTATTTGTTCAGAGAGGCCACTTGTCAAAATATAAATGTCTAGATTAGCTATAACAATCTTCCAACGTAAGGCTTTAAGAAACAGAATTTTGTGCTCTTTATTAAAGATGCAAGAACTCTTAATATTGCTTAGACAAGTTTGAAAGGAAGGTACCATTTCTCTAAGCCAATTAATTTCTTAAAAGACAGTTAATTTACCTGAAAAAAAGTTTTTTGTAAAGAACTATATCAAATCTGTATATGTTGTAATAAGGCTTCTTATGCTAGGAGTTGATTGAAAGTGTTCAAGAAATAAACTAACTTGTATACTGGTAAAACACCCTAAACTTATGCCAGAGAAGATTGTGTTCTTTAATCGTCCAGGAAGCCCTGGCCGGCTTGTTGAGCCTAAGGAAAATGTGAGTCCGCTTTCAGAGCTGGTGAAGGCGCCGTGTGAATGGCCCTGGAGGAGCATCCTTGTTCCTGTGGCCAGGAGGTTGGCGACTGAAACACTCACACAGGCCTTTTGATGGACCCATAAAAGCTCTTAGCTTTCTCAGGGGGTCAGCAGAGTTTTTGAATGTTAATTTTTTTTAATGTACAAGTTTTGTATAAGTAATAAAAAACCTCCTTATTTTGTATTACATCTGATGCTTCAAGTGTTGGTCTTGGAGAGCTGATGGCTCATGTAGAAGATGGACTTTGAAAAACATTCCAGTAATGCCATGGCAGCATGGAGAGCCTCTGAATGATTGTGTCTGCAGTATTGTGGAAGATTGACTTTTTCTGTTGTCTGTAAAGTTTAAATTGCTTCTGTTGTGACTTTTCAGCCAGTGACTTATTTATCTGAACTTTTCATGGAAGTGGCAGTGAAAAGTATGTTGAGTCTTCATTTTGGTGACTATACCCAATATCGTCATGCTAAATTAATGTTTTGTACAATTACTAAATTGTATACACTTTGTTATACTTTTTTTCCAGTTCCAGTAAATTATGAAAAGGAAGTTAAAATACTGTTAAGTGTAAGCAGTAACCTTTTTTTGTTTGGATTAACCCTCAGCCTGAGGCCTGGAAGCTTGTAAAGCCTGGCCAGAGCGGTAACCTATGATTCACACTTGACAATTTATCATTCTCCATTATAGTCTCCAACTCTACAACATTAATGGCAGGCCGGTGATATATGTGCATTAAAATTATCTTAGACAGTTTGATTAGTTCAGATTTATCATCTCAACTAGACTTTTGGATATTGGGGTTGTGAAGGTTAGTTGAGAGGAAGAGGGCATAAAAATTGGGCAGCCAAAACCAAATGGCCATTGCAGGTGTGTATTTAAGCTGTCTCAGCTGAATTGGAGCATACAGCTTAGTTTAGCTGAGGCTGGCCTTTTTAGAAGCTGATTCCCATTTACTTGCAATTATTGACTATACTAATGCTATAGTTAGAGGTGAAAAGATATGTATGAGGCACTGAGAACCAAAGCCCAGATAGTGGAAAAGCAGTTTGAATTTTTCTCCCAAGTGACATGTGATCACTAGTATGGTCAGCCCCCTCCAGTGTGGAGCAGGCTGGCCAGGAGACAAGGATCTCCATCCCCTTTTCTGTAGGAGTGATTTAAGGAGCCCTGAGGTGCTCAGAACAGGACTTTTCCTCAGTAGAGAATTAAATCCAAAGGAAGCATCTCACAATGTTCAAGATGTGAGCTCAAACAAAAGGATGCAGAGAAGCAAAACACATCAATACAAATCCATTGTGTATAGAAGGTTAAAATAAAGCAGGAAATTCAGTATAGAAAAGTTTTTTCAAGACCAGTGTTTCTCTAGCTATTCTGTTCTGGCCAAGACTTGAATTTGTTAATAAACTTGATGCAGTTAGCAATGATGATTAATGGGAAACCTCTACAGTGGAAACCAAGAGAAGATGGCAAATGATCTAATTTACAATTACATTGTAACATTCCTTTTTCACCATAATGGAACATGCTTACTCCCTGCCTCCATATCCCCTTTCATTTCCTGAGCAAGTTTCAGAGCTGCTGAGGGAGGTACGGGCACTCTTTAGGATAACAGGTGCTCCCTAAGGCCAATAGAGAACCTTGAGCTGACAGCTGGAGTTAGGAAGTAAAACAAGAGTGTTAATCCAGTGCTTCTCCAATGAGTGTGCAATATACTCACTTGGAGGACTTGGGTTTCTTATTCCCCTGGTCTGGGATGGGGCAGGGTTTTGACAATTCTGTTGCTGCTGCTGCTCTAACAGGTCTGGATTTCAGTATGAATTGACTGGTATTACAGAATGAATGGTATTAGAAAACTATTCAGAAGCACACAATTGGAAAACACCATGTAGAGATCAAGTGGTTAATAAGACTTAATTAGAGTTAATCCTAGAGAGATTTAACTAGAAAGTATGTTATTTGGTTTTGGTCTTTCCGCCTTCCACCTATGACCTCTTCCTCAACCCCCCTCCCCCAAACACTAAACATCTCTCCACATCTTCAACAAATGGAATGACTGCCCCAGAGAGACAATTTTAGCCACTTATTACCCCCATTCTCCTACGCCTTGTTCCCTGCTCTCCCAAAGGGCCAAATAAGAGTGGGGGACAAGGACAGACAGATCCAAGACGGCTGAGTAGATAAACACTGCGTGCTTCCTTCCGTGAACACATTAAAATTTAAAGGATAAAACAGTCAACCTGCAGAACCATCTGAAGTCGGCCTGAGCAGAAGTTTTATAACAGGATATGAAGAAGCCACATTGAGACGTAGAGGCAGAGAAACAAAATGGCTCCAAACCTCCAGTAGTTGAGAATCAAGAAGGATATCTTGGCCATGGAGGTTTCCCCAGGAAAGTGAGGGACCCCAGCCCAGAGTACTGATGCTGGGAAGAGGAGCCCCCACAACATCTGGCTGTGAAAAACAGGATTCTGACCACCAGAGTGGGACAGAAGTCTGTGAGAAGCCCCTAAGTCTTCTTATGCTGGGGGGTAGGGAGGTGGAGGGAGGAGCAGGCAGGCTGAAGTGTGGCTGCAGAGCAAGGGCTGGAGGACAGTTGCCATTTTCCCTGTAAGGGAACTTTCTCCCATGCAGCTGGCAGGTAGGCACCATCTTTCCTGTTTTGAGTCCTCCCCCACCACAGCCAAATCTGAATCTGATTGGCCTGGTGAGCGCTGGAACCCCGCCCCACCAACCTTCCCAACTCCGCTCTCTTGCAAGCAGCCAAGCCTGCCCACACTGCACTCTTGCTTGGAAAACTATGGGAGTCCATGGGACACAGGCAGGCAGTGACTGACCTCAGTGTGCTCTGAGCCTTTTGCAGAGTAGCTCCAGGCTCAGCACTGGTACCAAATCAGAGTCTACATTAACCTGGTGACCACACCTCTTTCCACTAGTGACTCTCTGAGACCCTGGCTCACACAACTTGCATACTTTATCAGTGGCTTTATCATTTCTATCATTTATATGATAGCATTTATCATATGTGGCTTTATCAGTGGCTGAACCTTAAGGGAGCTGGCATGGGACAGCGGGCCTCAGGGTGTCCTGGCTTTTTGTGGAGCTAACCCAGGCCTGGTGCTGGTGGCAGCTGTCCCTGGTTTGCAGCATTACCTATCCCACATGCCTCCAACTTTAGCACAGGAAGTGGAAACTGCAGATCGCTTTGTAGCTCCTACAAAGTAGTCCCTGGCTGATCACAAGCAGTGGGCAACCAGGGCTTGCACCGGAGCCCCTCCCAAGAAGCCCCAGAACCAACATACTTGGAGGTTGGCTTCATACCACAGCAGAGCACTGCCCAATTAGCTGACAAACTGCACACACAAAGGGTGGTCTCAACAGGGGCCAGGCTTGCTGGGGTGAACCCCACTCCATGGGGTAAGTCCCCTGCACAACAGCCTGTAAGCTGTGGATGTGGCCAGACCCCACAGCCTGAGGGGCAATATCAACCAATGACGTGCCAATAGCAATCAAGGCTCAACTATACAGGAAGGCACACACAACCCATGCAAGGGACACTCCTTGAACACCCAGAGCAGGTGACCAGGGTGATTGTGCCAGGGACCCACAGAGCACCTACTACATACGGGCCACCTGGCCAAGACTGGGAGACACAGTATATCTACCTCATACATAGAAAAAAACAGAGAGGCAGCCAAAATGAGGAAACAAATACATCCCAAATGAAAGGACAGGAGAAAACTCCAGAGAAAGAACTAAATGAAATGGAGGCAAGCAATATACCAGAGACAGCGTTTAGAACACTGGGTACCATGGATGCTCAAGAAACTTAGTGAAAACTTCAACAGACAAAGCAAGCATAAAAAAAGACATAGAAACCATTAAAAAAGAACCAGTCAGAAGTGAAGAATACAATAACTGAAATGAAGAATGCACTAGAAGGAATCATCAGCAGACTAGATGAAGCAGAGAATTGAATCAGTGATTTGGAAGATAAACTAGTAGAAAACACCCAGTCAGAAAGGCAAAAAGAAAAAAGAAACCAAAAAGTGAGGATAGTTTAAGAGACCTCTGGGACAGCATCAAGCATAAGGACATTTGCATCATAGGGGTACCAGCAGAAGAAGCGAGAAAGGAAGGGATTGAGAACCTGTTTGAAGAAATGATGACTGAACATTTTCCTAACCTGGTGAAGGAAATAGATATACAAACCCAGGAAGTGCAGGGTCCCAAATAAGATGAACCCAAACAGGCCTGCACCAAGACATATCATATAATTAAAATGGCAAAGGTTAAAGACAAAAGAATCTTAAAAGCAGCAAGAGAAAGGGAGCTAATAACTTACAAGGGAGCTCCCATAAGATTGTCAGCTGATTTCTCAACAAAAACTTTGCAGGCCAGAAGGGATTGGCACAAAATATTCAACGTGATGAAAAGCAAGGACCGGGCCGGCCGTGTGGTTTATTGGTTAAGAGTTGGCTTGGGAGCTCGAGGTTTGAGCAGCAGGGCCCTGGTTCGGATCCCACATGAGGGCCAGTGATGTTGCACCCTCTACAGCTAAGATGGTGAACAACAGCTTGACCTGGAGGTGGGCTGCCGTGAGTTGCTGGTGATGGCGTACACTGCAGTGGGGCTGCAGTGGGCTGCCGAAAGCAACCGTGAGTGGCCGGCAGCCAGTATGAGTGGCCGGCAGCCAGCATGAGCTGCTGTGAGCTGGCGTGAGCAGCCATCCAATGGCCGGTGACCGACTGCCTCAGTGGGGAAGAGCATAATGATCACAATCCCAACATGGGCCAGTGAAGCGACGTCCTCCACAACTAGACTGAAGAACCAAAAGACAGCAACTTGTCTGTTCCCCTTCCCCAATTCCCCAACGCTTTTCGCTCCCCCAATTCCCCAATAAAATCTTAAAAAAAAAAAAAAGCAAGGACCTACAATCAAGGGTACTCGACCCAGCAAGGATATCATTTAAAATTAAAGGACAGATAAAGAGCTTCCCAGACAAGAACAACCTAAAGGAGTTCATCACCACCAAACCAGTATTATAAGAAATGTTGGAAGGACTTCTTTAAGATGGAAAAAAAATCAAAATTCAAAACTATGAATAATAAAATGGTAATAGCTACATATCTATCAACAATTCCTTTTAATTTAAATGGATTAAATGCTTCAATCAAAAGACATAGGAGAGCTGAATGGATAAGAAAACAAAACCCTTAACACATGCTGCCTACAAGAGACTCACTTCTTTTTTTTTTTTTTTTAAGATTTTTATTGGGGAATTGGGGGATAACAGTGCTGGGGAATTGGGGGAAGGGGAACAGACAAGTTCCTGTCGTTTTCTTCTTCAGTCTAGTTGTGGAGGACGTTGCTTCACTGGCCCAAGTTGGCACCATCATTGCACTCTTCCCAGGCGAGGCAGATCAGTCGCCGGTTTCTGGACGGCTGCTCACTGCGGCTGCTGGCTACATACGGTAGCCCATGGCAACCCACTG